GGGGGGGCAGTCTCAGAGGGGCCCGTGGGTCAGTGCCGTGGGAACCAGCCGCTACTGAGACGCCAAGGCTCCTGAGGCTGGGAGCTGCCCAGCAGGCTGCAGTGTGGATGTGGAGCTCAGCAGCCTGCTGGGGCTTTGCTGAGACCTGGACATGTGTCTGCCAAGAGAGCCCTGACCTGCATGCTGCCCAGGACACCGCGTCTTAAACTAGGCAGGTTGTGATGGGCAGAGAGCAATGGAGTTGGGGTGGCTGTCCATCCAGGCTGAGCTGCTCGAAGCTCCCCTCACGCTTCAGGTGTGAGCACAGGGGAGAGGGAGCCCCTGGCCAGCCCAGAGGAGGTGCTCAATGGCCCATCCATCAGGACCCACTCACCCCCAAAGGCGGCGACTCAGACAAATTTTAAGAAGATGTGAGCTGAGAGGGCCAGCTCTCCAGGGCCCTGCTCTCTCTCCTGGTGTCTGGGCCCTCACAGCCCAGCTACCGGGACAGAGACTCCACACTTCCCCACGGCCAGGGCCGCAGGGCGGGCAGAGCCCAGCTTACCCAGGTGGTCATTCCCCGGGAAGAGAAGCGGGCAATGTTGTCCTCAAAGTCAATGCCGCCGACGCCAACCACGTCCATCTGGTCGGCAGGGTTGTTCAGAGTGCTGGGGGCACAGACAGGGTTACTACGTAAGGACAGGGTTTCTCTGTGTGGGGCAGAGCATCGTGCTGGAAGGAGAGCGTGGAGAAATGACGACGGTGTGGACAACACGGAGTTGTCCACGTCAACCCTGCTGAACAAGCAGGTGTTGTGTTGTAGATGTTTTATCACACACACACATACAGACAGACATGCATGCACGCAGACACAGATGCACATAGACACAGACAGTTGGCAGCTGAGACTGGTAGCACCACCGCCTGCTCAATGAGGGATGCCCCCCCATACAAGGTGGCCAGGTTCTGGCTTTCCCGGGCATCCATCGCTCTTTTGTTGGCAAAGGTGAAGACCTGCTCCGTGAAGGTGACGCACAAAAGCCCTTTCCCACCCTCCCTTACCAGTCTGTGAGCCTCCATCCTGAGAGATCAGGTGACCAGTCACCCTCAGGAGGCCTGCATGTCTCTAGATGGCTCCGGCACACCCGACTCCACTTAGTGGTCACAGACAGGGGCAGGGGGACCCCAACAGAAACTGTCAGGAGGTATGTGACTATCACAGCCCAGGTGAGCAGGGTGCATAGAAACCAGAGCAGCCTTGCATGGGTACCTGGGGAAGCTCAAGGATGGGGACGGACAGGTTCCCCGGACACTCTCCTGACTAATGGGAATTCTCACAAAGACCCCAAGCTGAGCTCACAGCTGTCAAGCCAAATTGCCACTTCCAGCAACCCCGAAACACAGAGTCAAACCACTACCCCACGGGCTGTGCTCTCTAGGGAGCTCCCCGGCAGCGGTGCATAAGAAGCACCGGGTGTTCCCTGGCAGCCCAGCATGTACAGCCCAGGATGTAACCACTGTGCCACCAGGGCTGCCCAGACACACAGATGCCAGGCCAGAAACGGACAGCGGTCGCTCTGTAGTTATCCCAGAAGAAAGGTCTTTACAGGCATCTGCCGTGCTGGGGCTACTCACCCATACAGAGGCCCATCGTTGCCAATCGCAGACACCATGATCACATTGTTGGCTGTCAGCTCCCACACCTACAAAATGGGCAGGTGCTTATTAATGGAACTACATCACCGCCAACAATCAATATGCCATGCTCCCCAAACACCACAACTTCTAAACATGTAACTGCAAAGATGTAAGTAGAAGGAGAGCAGCATGAGCCATGCCTCATCTACTGAGACAAGAACTAGGTCTGCTTGAGCCATGCCTCGTCTACTGAGACCAGAACTCGGTCTGCATGAGCCATGCCTCGTCTACTGAGACCAGAACTCGGTCTGCATGAGCCATG